AGGGAATCAGACTTACTCTGCTCACCTCTCTAGCTTCAACAGCACAAGGTCTGCTTCGACTATCAAGGCACCCCGGAAATAGCGGGTCACAAGAGTGTGAGAAACATACAAAAGAAGTAGAGGAAAATGACGATAGTAAGGATTAAGAAAGAAAAAGCAGCAGTTCCCTGTTGTAGTTCAGGCACAGTTATGAGCATGACACTGTTGGATCAGCCCAGTTACAATTCTACTGTGCATTAGAACAAGAAATGTCCCCCCCTTTAGGAATGGCCTAAAGACACTTCAGTCAATGGCACCACCGCCCGGGGGAGGGCAGGGCTGGTTTCTCATTTCTAGATACGTGTCATAACAGGGTGGAATCATTATCACAGGTGCTTGTAAATTTTTTTGGGAACATACGAAGCTATTGATATTATCTTAGTTAAAGCTTGTCATTTATTTTACTTTTGATGGAAAAAAATATATATCTACCTTAAATAGAAGTAGAGATACTTGCAAATGAAGAAAGTGGTGTCAGAGGTAAAACAACCGAAAAAATGTCTGCCAAAGGTTCCTGAATTACAAAGTTTGAGCATTCTTGGAAACCGAAAAATTAAATTTTTGTGTGCTTTTGATCAACATTTTGAAGTAAAATCCACATAAAAATGTGTTTAGCCATAAACGGAACCTTAAAAAAAAAAGCCCAACTGAAGGAAAAATGTCGGTTTCTTCGATTTCATTAATTTGACGAGCACCTGATTTCACCACGATGCCTCACATAAATAGCTGTATTTGTATAGTAAAGTGTGCACATGAAGAATTCAGCTGGAGGAGGAAATCTTTTCATTATGTACGAATTTTGCAACAGACATATTTTGAATAAATACAAAGAACAGGTGTGAGAAAACATTCAGAACCTAAAAATCTGTTCGCTGTTTGCATGTCTTGCTATGTGTGTTTGTTCACTATGTGTGTACAAGACTGTATATATGTTTTTTGCTAGAGTTGCTAGACTAAAAATCTATATAGAGCTATATAGAGTCTAAAAACACAAATGGTTTTATCAGACTTTTGAACAAGCTAACAAGCCTTTAGTTTGACACCGAAGTCAAAAATAAATAAATTCTACCTCTGGGCAACGCTTTATTGATCAGTTTGATGCGAAACAAGCGTTTTTAAAAGCGTAATATTTGCAACATGTCGGGTTGCATTTCCACAAACACTAGAAAATTATGCGGAAATGTGATTCTAAATTGCATGGTTAACTTAAAAGAGTTAAGTTATAAAGTAGAGATTAAACATCCTCACCCCAAACCGCTGGCTAGAGACGTCGCCCTGAGCGCAGGCCTCGCAGAGACAGTCAAAGTGGTACTGAGACTTGAGCACCTCTTGTCTCTCCCCTGTCCTCATGCGGCAATAGTGGGGACCTGAGCAATGTAACACATTGGAAGGAAAAAAATTGTTTCTTTGTTTGAGTAAGTTTTAGCAAGTATTTTACGGTACTTGGTATACAATTAGGAAATACAAGTGCCGAAGATTAGAGGTGTTACAAGAGAATAGCAAACACAAAAAAGAAGGAGGGGAGATAAGGACGATAGATGTTCGATAGGAAAGAAGGAGCAAACCACACCAGAGCACCAGCCAACCACCCATTGTTTGAGGAAAGAGAAGCATGTCGATAAAATAATATTATTTAGTGCTGGGGTAAAGGTAAGACAGACAGACAGAGATAATAGAGGGAAAGTATGAGCTACCAGTGGCGACCTCCAATCACCCACAGAGTGTAAAAGTGGCAAATAAGATGAGATACTAAAAAACAAATATCTAGACAAGCATTTGACAGAAAACAGCTCAAACACAAGAAAAAAGCTTTTGAACTTTAGTTTTAGAAAAAGTGTTAAGACACTAGCGATACAAATTGGTCATACAAGTGCCGAAGATTAGAGGTATACCTAGAGAGTAACACCCAAAGAAAAGAAACGGACAAAAAGATCCTAGACGCTTTAGTTTTAGTAAAAGTTTTACGGCACTTGCAACACAATAAGGTCATATAAGTGCCGAAGAATAGAGGAGTTAGAAGAGAGTAACATACACAAAAAAAGGAGGAGAGATAAGGTCATATGAGCGCCAGAAGATTAGAGGCGTTACAAAAAAGTAACAAACATAAAAAAGAAGGAGGGGAGATAAGGACGATAGATGTTTGACAGAAAAGAAGAAGCAAACCACACCAGAGCACCCGCCAACCACCTACTCCTACAAGCTACTCACCGTAACAGTTGTAGATCTCATCTCCCTTTTTGACATCTTTGATATTTCGAACTATCAAAACGTCACCCATGAAGCTGCGAAACAAAACAGAGAGACATACACACACATATAATTAGTGGCACTGAGCTCTTATTGTACTAAGAAGCTGGGTGATAAATGGCACAAGGAGAGAGGGAGGGGGGGG